CAGACACAGTCTCTGGCTACTTTTTGCTCCAGAGACGGAGGGAGACTTCTCTCATCTTCTTGTGCCTCAACTGGGAAATGCTACTGCACCCCAAGCATACAAAGAACCCCAACTTTGAATCTTCCCTTTCTTAACTGATATTGATCCAGATACAAGTCTTCTTTTGCTCTGCCTAAACTCATTGTTTGGTCACAGATCCATTTCCCAACTCTACCCTTCAGGGAAACCTAATGCCATGGTGAATATCTAGCAGAGTAAATAAGATGTAATTACCAAAACTTGAAAGACAATGTTGAGTCAATTTCCTACACAGAAATATAATTATATTGACTATTCTCTGGACTTCAAGGGCCATCACTTCTTGATTATGTGGGATTCTTGCTAGGGGAGGGCTGGCCAGCTTGTATATGGTAATGCCTGTATGCTTGTATACCTCATAACTGGCCTTTTCCTTTTGGACCTAAATTCTAGGATTCCATTCAATGGCTTGAAGAAAATGTACATGCTGTCACTGCTTTGCTACAATTTATGAAAACTGCTTTCTCTGCCACATGCCAAAGTCTGGCGCGTGGGGACATATGTTCCCTTCTTTTCGAAGCCTCTGTATGAACAGACAATATTATGGAGTGGTTAAGGGTTTGAGCTATGGGGTCAGACTCCCTAGGTTCACTCAAATCCAGACTCTACCAGTTGTAGGTAACCTGACTCCTTTAAGCAGTTTCCTCATCTGTAAAATGGGGTTATAATAGTATCTGCCTACAATACCACAGGACATTGTGAACTTCCTCAAACAGTGCTTAAACCCATTACCAATGAGTTGATTCCAACTCACAGCAACCCTATAGGACAGAGTAGAAGTGTCTACAGTGTTACCAAGGCTGTAATCTTTATGGAATTACATAGCCACATTTTTCTCCTGCAGAGTGGCTGGTGGGTTTGAACTGCCAACCCTTCAGTTAGCAGCCAAGTACTTAACCATCATGCCACCAGCATTCCTTAAACACTGTTTGATATCGAGTCAATTCTGACTCATAGCAACCCTATAGGATAAGGTAGAACAGTCCCCATAGATTTCTAAGGCTGTCTATCTTTTTTGATTGGCAGCCAAATGCTTTAAGCACTGTGCCACCAGAGGTCCTGCTTGGTACTTAGTGAAAATGTAAGCCAGGAGGAAGTACTGATATGTCACCATGGAAGGGATCCTGTGACTAAGAAAGAATGAGGAATGGGTACTAGAGGCTACTATGACCTCTAAGAGATTTGTTTTGTCAAGTCTCTTAGATTCTGATTTGTTTTGTCAAGTCTCTTAGAAATAGACTATTCTGTCTGAGAGAGAGGCAAGACCAGCTTTACAAAGACAGTCAATGGCCTCTGCATGGTGTGGCACTCTACCACCCCACACCATCCCTTTCAGATTCCTTCTCCATGATGCCTAGAAACCCCAATGCCTGAGACAATATATGGCTCGATTATAAAGCAAATGAGAGAGAGAAATGTGTCGGTCCCTAAGTGTAGATTTTAATGGAACGGGAGGGAGAAGACCAGGGTCATCAGGTGAGGCATGGTGCAACAGAGAACAGATGTAAGATGTGTAGAGAGAAGCGTGGAAAGGGAAGAGGCGTGTGAGAGTAGGACAAAAGGATTTACAAAGGGAAGGTGAAAATTCCAAAGAACCAGAATTCCCAGCTTTTCTTTCCTCCCTGGAGGTTGGATGGGGCAAAGTAGCATTTATTGTGCCATGGCACTATTTTAAATATCGTTGTTGTTAGGTGCCATTGAGTTGGGTCTGACTCATAGCGACCCTATGGATTACAGAGCTAAACACTGCCCAGTGCTTAAATATACTTTCACATATTCAGTTCCACAAATAAATATTCAGGCCATAGCAACTGCCAGGTATTTTAGTAGATGTTACAGAAACAGCAGGAAATAAATATTGAACAAACACACAGACAAATAAGTTAAAAATTATGGTAAGAGTTCTGAAGGAAAAGAACAGGGCATTATGGGAGAGGATAAGAGGGAGGAGAAGGGGCCAGAACACTTATCTGAGGAAGCGCATTGAAGCTGAGCCACAGGGTTGACTGGGTGGAACAGGAGAAGAATGGAACAGGAAAATAGTTCAAGTAGATGGAACAGAATGTTAGTAATTGTGAGGCTTTAAAGAACTTGGTTTCTTTGAAAAACTGAAAGGAGACTGCTGTGATGGGAATAAAGGAGGAAGAGTGCATAAGAGATGGATTAGAGAGATGGGTGAGGCCTGATCCTATAGGGGCCTGTCAGCCATGTTAGGAACTTAGGATTTTATTTTAGGTACATGCAGGATCTATCAATTTTGTGACAAGGTTGTCAGCCCCTTTTCCTTTGCAGATGAGGAAAGTGGCCAGTCCACAGGTCCTATAACAGTATAATCAGAGTCGGGATTTGATTTCAAATTATCTGATTTGAAGTCCAGGGATTCTGTCAAATGTATTGTCATTCTCCTGGCTCCACATTGTAGGAACTATGTGATGTGTCCTCCAAATGCAGTAGCCTCAGTTCATCAGTATTTAAACTCAGGTCAAGACCCTCTGCTAGGTAGACAAAAAAAAAAAAAAAAAAAACTTTGCCCCAGTTTCCCAATCTTCAAACCCATTGGCTGCCCAAGTCATGTACCAAGAGGTCCACCATTTTCTCCAGCATGTTGGACCAGTGGAGCCTGAAGGTCTGGTCTCCCCACGAGCTAATGAAGTAGACACAGGGCTTCCTTGCGTCAAATGGCAAATAGTTGTAATTCCTGAAACAAACACATTAGGCCTGGAAGTTAGTTGGCAAACAGTGGTCTTCAGTCAATCCAGCCACAAGTTCAAATTTTGCATATCATGGGCAAGTTTGGTGGTGGTGGTAGTGACAAAGCCATTTAACTATTAGCTCCATCATTAGCCTCTTACTGGAGCCCTGAACAAGAGAAAATGACAAGTCATGTTGCTACAAAGGAGAGGTGATAACAGCTACAGTCAGACCCAGGGAAAAGTTAGCAAATGATCACAAGAGGGCAGGATTTATCTGGCAAGCCTGCAAGGAAGAAGGTCTTAAAATGAGAGAAGAAAGATGGAGAAAAAACATTTCTTTTATTATTTTAAGGGTCCACATGCCAGATACTATATAAGGACCAATTGAGGTAACAGATGAGAAGATGAGAATATATTTCTAAACTGATATTGTTAGAGAAATTTAAGAAGTTAGTAATATTATTAACGAGGATGACAGCATGGCTCTTGGGCTGAACTGCTACCATCATGACCAAACAAACCTTTAGTATTCCTGTGGCTTGCCATCCATCCACCCATCCATCCATCCATCCAGCATATATTTATTGGTGTCAGCCATCGATACTAATGATGTAGGTGACTTTCCTGGCTAATAAGAGGCAACATGAATAGCACAGTAGCTAGTAGAGGGACATGCAGCCAAAGAGAACTTTTGAGGATGACAGTTGGATGTGTTTAAATGACAATGGAAAAGAGGCAGTTAATAGGGTGAGAATGAAGACAGAAGAAGAGGAGATCATTTGTAAATTTTGGTTCCAAGGTAGGAGGGGATAGGTGTGGAGAAGGCAAGGTGGAAGAAGGTGTAGCAAAAAGTTGAAGAAGTTCCTGCCTAATGCCATCTATTTTCTCAAGTAGGTTGCCCATGCCCTTTGGAATTTCTCCTCAAACACCCAGGATGGTGGAAGGAAGGCCAAGGCAGAGTTCATGGAATGGGCATGGTAGCACAGTTAGCCCTGACAAATGTGGACAGTGTTTGGAGCAACATGTCTATGGAGAGAAAGAGAGAGGAGGGAGGGAGAGCGAGCGAGAGAGAGAGAGAATGAGGGAGTAAGAGAAAGAGAGAGATCTTTGTTTCCATTCCAAAACTAAAGAGAAACTTCAGCCAGAAAGAGTGGCTGGTTGTTCTTTTTAGCTCTCCAACCCAAATTTCTTCTGAAGAAGACAATAAAATGAGCAAGGATGCCCCATGGCCTATTCTTCAGAAAATGAACCAGAAGGTGTCTGATCAGAAGAGAAGCCAAATAAGTTCTTGGCAGAAACTGAGATAGTTTTTGCAGCAGGAGACCAAAAAAGGTTAGAAATCAAACGACTGTCTTTACATTATCTCTTTTTAAATGACTGCACAGATAATCCTTCAACTAAATAAGTCCCCAGCCCATATTGCACACTCTTCAAGGTTTCTTTGGTTTGGATTATTTTGTGCTGATCCTGGTCAAGGCTTTGCCTTTTTGATTCTCAGGCCCTTCCAAGTCTTCCTGGCTCAACATGGACCAGAATGCTGTGGTATTTCTGATGCTTCTCAGGCAAACTGCAGTGCAGATGGACGACAGCAGAGGGGAAGACGCCACAGTGCCAGTGGAACCAGGCTCCCAGTTTGAATAGCTGCCCTGACACAGAACCAGCCTTGTGACCTTAGGCAAGAGGAGGCCTGCAATCCAGAGCATCAAAGAATGACCTGCTGTTCACTGTCTTCAGCTCCAGTTTCATCCCTGGGCTCCAGGACAATGCACACATTGTGTGTGAATGCTCATGCTTTATAAACTGGAAAGGCCAGAAGAAATGCAAGGTGGTATTTAATGGAGGTGAAAAGATCTAATGCAGAAGACAAATAAATTGTGTGTGTCCACATGTGTGTACTCTGTGTGTATGTGTGTGCATATGCATATGTAGGGGTCTATTATAGATGTTGTTGTTACGTGCCGTCTGATAAGCTGGCTCTGATTCATAGCGACCCTATGTACAACAGAATGAAACACTGCCTCATCCTGTGCCATTTTGATAATCACTGCAGCCACTGTGTCAGTCCACTGTGTTGAGGGTCTTCTCCTTTTCCACTGATCCTCTACTTTGCCAAGCATGAAATCCTCCCCCAGGGAATGGTCCCTTCTGACAACATGACAAAGTACATGAGATGAAGTCTAGCCATTCTAACTTCTAAGGAGAATTCTAGCTGTACTTCCAAGACAGATTTGTTTGTTCTCCTGGCCATTCATGATATTTTCAATATTCTTCACACACCAAAATTTAAATGCATCAGTTCTTCTGTCTTCCTTACTCATTGTCAACCTTTCACATGTAGATGAGGTGATGGAAAGAAAACACCATGGCTTGGGTGCACCTTAATTTCCAAAGTGACATCTATGCACTTTGACACTTTACAGAGGTCTTTTGCAGCAGATTTGCCCAGTGCAAAACATTGTCTGATTTCTTGACTGCTTCTTCCATGGGTGTTGATTGTGTATCCAAGTAAAATGAAATCCCTGACAACTTCAATCTTTTCACTATTTGTCATGATGTTGGTCCAGTTGTGAGGATTTTGTTTTCTTTATGTTGAAGTATAATCCATACTGCACACTATAGTCTTTGATCTTCATCAGTAAGTGCTTCAAGTCCAGTTTGAATAGCTTCCCTGACACAGAACCAGCCTTGTGACTTTAGGCAAGAGGAGGCCTGCAATCCAGAGCATCAAAGAATGACCTGCTATTCCCTGTCTTCATTTCAGCCAGCAATGTTGTGTCATCTGCATATCGCAGGTTGTTAATGAGTCTTTCTCCAATCCTGATGCTGTGTTTTTCTTCATAGGGTCCAGCTTCTCAGATTATTTGCTCAGCATACAGATTGAATAAACATGGTGAAAGGGATACAACTCTGATGCACACCTTTCTTGATTTCAAACCATGAAGTATCCCCTTGTTCTGTTCAAATGACAGCCTCCTGGTCTATGTACAGGTTTCTTGTGAGCACAATTGAGTATTCTGGAATTCCCATTCTTCGCAATATTACCCATAATTTGTTATGATCCACATAGTCCAATGCCTTTGCATAGTCAATAAAACACAGGTACATATCATTCTGGTATTCTTTGCTTTCAGCCAAGATCCATTTGACATCAGCAATGATATCCCTCATTCCACGCCCTCTTATGAATCCACTTAAATTTCTGCAAGTTACCTGTCAATGTACTGCTACAACCAGTAAAATTATAGAAATTATAGACATAGAGTCTTCCAGTTCATCTGTTGCCTCCTTGGCTTGCTATCATGTAGACAGAGCCTCAATATGGTGACTAAGAAATAACAGAAAATCCAATTGTACCCAAAACTAGCAGCAATACTTATTTTGGTCTCCTCAAGTCAGCAGCCAGCACTACTATGAAATCCATCAAGAGTGCATCTTGAGGGCTATCATCTCCTCCAAAACCCTTCCCACACAGTTGTTAGTGCTGGAGAGTTGATTCTGACTCATCACAACCCCATGTGTGCACAGAACAGTGCTCCATTGGGTTTACAAGGCTGTGGCTTTTCGGAAACACAATTCCAGGCTTGTCTTCTGAAGTGCCTCTGAGAAGGTTCAAACAGCCAACTTTTCAGCCAGTAGTCAAGCACTTATGTGTTTGCACCATTCAGGGACTCCTCTTCCTACACTAACCTGCCATCAAGTTGATTCCGACTCACAGCAACCCTCGTTGAGTTCCCAAGGTTGTCAATCTTTACAGAAGTAGATTGCCTCATCTTCCTCCCACAGAACAGCTGGTGAGTTTGAACCACCTACCTTCTGGTTAGCAGCCAAATGCCTTACCCACTACGCCATCAGAGCTCCTCCTTCTCACACTAGGTCCTTTGACCTCCCCACCAGCAGTCAACAATTGCCTCAGAAAGGCCTGGGGAATATTTTCACTGCATGGTCCCAGTGAAAGGTTGCAGAGGGCATCCTGTGTAGTCTCTGAAAAGTCTTCCAGGGCTCCAGATTCTGTTAGAGGATTCACTCATTGCTGTCCTGAGTTTTGAGAATGGAGTTAAAGGACAGGGAAGTTAAAGACTCTTTTGGTGAGTGAAGGAGGGTGGGTGGACAACCAAGTGTGACCTCCATGGGGTCAAATAAAAGCTCCCAAAGGAAGTAGTCCATGGGAGGTTGTTGGTTGTCCATGGAAGGACAAGGTCTAGAAGTCTTGGGAAGTTCTTTAAAAGGAGACAACGAATAGTGAGGACTATTTCCATTCACTCCACTCTTCTTTTTGTCTAAAACCCTGTACCTTCCCTGACTTCTCACCTTCTTCACAGACTGCTATCAACCCACTCACTCCTTTCTGCTCTCAACCTATGCCCAATGTGGTTATGATAATTTCTTAATTCATTCACAAATATTTATGAGTACCTACCATATGCCAGACACAGAGATGAGAAGATACAAAGGTGAATAAGACATAGTCTTTGCTCTCAAAGTACTCAAGGAAAGTGAAAACATCTCAACCCAGTGTGATAAGTGCTTGGACAGAGGTGAGCACAGAAATCCAAATCAGATTTGGGATTCCTAGAACTTGGGCTTAGTCTTGAATGGTAAAGGGAGCTAACAGGTTTAAAGAAGAGTCTCATTGTTGCTAGGCAGAGGTAGTGTATGTTCAAAGGCCCAGGAGCACCAAACAATAGGACACATTGGGATGTTGTGTGGCTGGAAGAAAGGTGGGTTGTGGGGAGGGACTGAAGATAATAACAGAAAAGGAGCCAAGGATCCAACCATCCAATCTGTATCTCAAGGTTCAGCCTCTAGAATTCATCCTGAAAGCCACAGGGATCCACTGAAGGATGTGAATCAGAGAAGTAGCTCCTTCAGATTTCCATTTTGGAAAGCTCATGCTCAGATAATTTGGTGAATGCTTTGAAGATCCAAGCCAGGGCAAAGATGCTGATGGCCAAAACTGAAGTGGTAACAGATATGAGAATTGCTTAATAACTGGATTGCCCAGACTATATAACTGACTGAATGTGGATAAATGGAAAAAGGACAAATGACAACTTTCCAGTGTGTGTCTTAGAGAATTCATGGAAGGGTGGATCTGTCTATGACATAGGAAAGACATGAAGGGGAACAAAGTTGGCTGTGAAGACAATGAGTTTGGCTAATAACTTGGAAGACATCCAAGAGGAGGTATTTGGATTTCCTACTCCAGAGAAAGGGCTGACTAAGGAATTGGACCTGAGAGTCCTTATTATAATGGAAGGTCCCTAGCATAAATAGTTTGCACTCAGCTGCTAACTGAAGGTTGGAGAATTGAACCCACCCATGGGCTCTACCATAGAAAAGTCTGGCTATCTGCGTCTGTGGTGATTACAGCCAAGAAAACCCTGTAACTCGTGAGGTCACCATAAGTCAGGATTGACTACTGCAGTGGGTTTGGTTGATTATTACTATGGCAGGGTCCCTGGGTGGTGGTAATGGCTAACTTGCTTTGTGACTAACCTAATGGTTGGAAGTCTCAGTCCACTCGAGGTGTCTTCAAAGAAAGATCTGGCTATCTACTTCCAAAAACTCAGCCGTTGAAAACCCTGTGGAGCATTGTGTTGCCATGAACCAGAGGCAACACAATGACAACTGGTTTTCTAACAGTGGTCAAGAATCAGACTCCAGGGAGATAGGAAAAAGCAGAGATTGGAGGACATTAGTGATGTGACCTTATAGGGGTCATGTAATATCCATGGACCCCAGTCTCCTTGCATGTAAAATGGGAAAAGAAACATGTTCATGTGAGAATCTGATGAGATCATAGATTTTTAACTCACAGCACAAGTACATAGAAGACTATCACTCCATGTCTTCCCTGTTCCTCATAAATCACCAGATCTGTGCTTGCCACCACTTGCTTAGGACAAATTCCATAATTTTACTTCTTTTTAAAGGTTTAAAATCTGCATGGATTAAAGGAGATCAGTGAGGGAGCATGCAGGTGCTCTGTATGTTTTCTGAAATGGTCTTTCTTTAAGGACTGAAAATCACTTTTTGAATTTTTCAATTTGCAAATGAATATGGCAAAAATAAGATAAGAAATGATGCATTCAATAATCTCACCAAATTGAGTTCACATAACAGCCCAGAGCTCAGAGAAATACAATAACCTTTAACAAGATTTCGATTAAAATTTTAAAGTCTACCTTCCTATCTTGTTATGCTTCAAAGTCACAGAAGAAAAAAAGGCTTCAGGTATGACTTTAATGGCCACCATCATTGCTCTGTCCTTAATGAATTTCCTGGATGCATCATTGGAGAGTTGTTGACATGTTAATGATTCAGCTGAGTGACACTTACTATTTTGCCCTATTCACATCTTGCACCCACAATGGAAATAAAAAAAAATGACATTTCTGAATGGTCCCAGAAATGGGACAAAATCCTACTGCCAGAGACCCCGGCTGTCCTCCCCTGCTGTATCCTCTACCTGTTCCCTTCTGTCACCAGTGGCTTCTCTGGGTGAGTGGTGGAGACCATCGGGATGGTGACATCGTGGGCAGCGTCCCTTTCTCCTTCATTCAGCAGTGACAGGATGTCTTCTTCTGTTGATTCAGCTGACTTCTTCTTACTCTCATGATGGGTCTCATGATGGGACCCTCCATCAATCAGGTTCCCAAAATTACCTGCAGAGGCAGTAGCAAGGGGAGAGGGACAGGGTGTCAGCAAGTGGTATCAGGCTGCTTGGCATAAAAGCTGCAAATGCATGTCCTCCCAGGGTAAGGACATACGATCTCAACATGAAGATGGGATGAGCAATGGTCAGACCAAAGAAAGAAGATTGACAGCAAGCCATCATCTACACGCATCTTATTTTCTCTTTTGTAGAAACTACATACATTACAAATTAGAAGATACAATCAAGTAAATAGGAAAGAAGTCAGTTGGAATCATAAAAACTAATCATAACCATATTTAGCACTTTGGTGTATATCCTTCAAAAATGTTTCATGTAGATGTTGATGGGGGATCACTGTAGCTATGCCATTTTGTAATCTGCCTTTTTCTGGACATACAGATTTGGGATTCTGTATTAGTCCTCTAGTCATATGGTTCAAGGGGGCTGGACTCCATCACCATTTCCTCTCTATTGAAAGAGGGCTGCCTAAAAGTGAACCAAGACCTTCTCTGAAGGAATGCTCCTTCTTGGAATGGGTTTTCCAGTCCAAGAAGATCACTAGGAGTCGTAATAATAGCACCTACTATATACTTGGCACTTTGCATGCATTAACTTCTTAAACCCTCACAACAACTCTGGGAGGAGTTAATGTTATTCTTATGTTATAAGTCAGAGAAGTGAAGTGAGCCCAGGGCCTTGAAACCAGGATTAATAATCCAATTCTTGCTGATCTATATTATTATTTTTAAAATACAAGTATGAAAATAAAACCACCCTTTGTATCTCAACACGTCATTTCTTTCTGACATGCATCAGAGTGCTATCCTCTTCATGTAAGACATTCATTCATTTATACACTCATTCATTCATTCAAGAAACAGTTACTAAATCCACTCTATGTGCCAGACACTGTGCTGGTCTGCACTTACCAATGGAAACTTCAAAGCTAATGGGTTTATCTCCAATCTTTCGGTCAATCATGGTAGCTTCAAAAAATACTCCAAAGAGTAAAAATTCCTCATATTTTTCTGGTACAATCTATGGAAAGTGAAAAAATTATTAGACAGAACTGGCTTTTTTTCTTTCTCTTAGAAAACTAATGATGGTAACCTGACCATGCTTCTAAATAACAGGCCTGGGCAGATTCTAAGGATTTGAGTTTCAGTTTCAGCCTGAAATGGCACAATGTTTCCCATCTAATCAGACAGGAATCAAAGCCAACAGAATGCAGATCCAAATCCAGCCATTTCTCTAGAGTGAGATAGCCCCAGATTCTGAATTTCTACCTTAAAACAACCTCTCTCTTTATTTTGGAGAATAAACTAGGAGTGTGTGTCTTTCTAAAATACTCTTGGTGAAACAGGAGTTGGGGTGACATTCTGGTGATCGGGCACTTAGGAAACAGAATGTTGGAGACAAGACACACAGTCATAGTATTAAACCTTCACATTGGAGCAGTACTCTGGCTCACTCAGGGTGGCCACATACATCATACTATTTGTTTTTCTTAACAAACTTGAGAGGTCAAGCTTTGGATCATATCATTTTACAGATAAGGAAATAGAGGAAATTGAAGCTCAAGGTTGTTGAGCAATTTTCCTAGGTATTCTGACCACACACTCAGTTCTCTCTGAACTCTGTGTTAATGCAATACCTTGGTATTAACCCAAAGTAAAATTGTTCTCCCCAAAAAACACAAGCCAGATAAAAGGTGGGGAAATAGACACTCCCACAGGCATTGGCCAATCACTGTGTGTAACGGCATTGCTAATTAGCATACCTGCTAAGAGGAATGCGTGGGTGGAGTTTGAGGAGTGACCAGAGAGGAAGAAGACCCAGATCATCTAGTGAGGCATGGTGGGACATTGCCTTCTACTTTGAAAAGGGCTATAGAATTCATCTCCAACCTCCATCTTTTATCTGACTAAGCTCAAGCCCAGAGACAAGAACTTGCCCAGGTCACATGTTATAATCCTTTAGTCTGTCTAGACATCTCTGGGGGAACAGCCATCATTTCATTTCTCCATCAAAACTTGTTGTTTGGTTGACCTGAGAAACATGCTCCCAGAAGCTGAGAGCTGGAAATCTACCCAACTCTGCTACTGAGAAAACCTTACATTCTTTCATTTGCTTAACTACCAATTACTATCACTAAACTAAACTATTGAGAGAGGTTATTTCAAAGTTTGTATTCATCTTGGAGCTCCAGATATCTTTCCTATAATACAGAACTGAGCTGGGGGGCAGGGTGCTCATGGGTTCTATTGTGTAATAAGCAAGAATGACATTTCCCTTGAGTTGAGGTGGCCCCACAAGCTTGGACCAGGAGAATAGGCTTCTCAATTTCTCCTGTCCCAGTTTGCCATACTCTTCCTGCTCCCCGCCTTCATCCCATGCAATCGCACATCCCAATCTGCTACCCTAAGCTAGCAAAGCTACCAAAACTGAATTCCAGATATAGTCGAGCGAGTCACTCTGCCACCCACTCCCACTAACTCCCCCAGAGCACTCTTTGTTTCTCTTTACTTCAGTTTCCATGGGAACCTATGTTTGGGGGGTACTCTGAAGGAATTTATCATAAGCATATGGGTGGACTGGATGCTTGCAAGAAAAGGGAAAACAGGCCTAGGCCAACACAGTTTTGAGAGGAACGAGACATGTGCAGGCAAACATCTTTGGGACCCATGGCAGGTGCTGTCTCTGCACTGGGCTCATCTCACAGAGGCTGTGGAGCAGGGGCTCAGCCTTACCTCTGGGGGGACATCAAAGGGTTCCACCTCGACCTCAGTTGAGTTAGTTTTGTCTGAAGCCCGCTGGGATTTTCCATCATCAGTTTTGTCACCCTTGTCCTTACTCAATCCTTTGGAAGATTTGGAGTCTTTGTCTTTGGAAGACAACTTGAGGTCCTTCAGGGCTTTAGAAAACTTAGACTCCTGTGCCCCGCCTGACAGGATTTCCACCGCAATCTCCACCAGGATTCTGCCTCTGAATGACACACCTTCCCCAAAGCCTTCATTCAGTTCCTGGTAGTCGTCCATCAGGCTGTGGTTCCTGGGTGAGCCATACAGGTTAATCCAGGCAGGTCCAAAGGTAGGTAGAAAGCCTAGGAAGACCCCAAGCTTTAGTTACATTGTTATGTTTTTAAGTTCATTATTTATTTGCTTTGTGAAAGTTGTACAGTTATTCTTAAAAAGGTAGATTGTAGAGAAGATAAAAAAGAAAATATTCACAGAATATCTCATCACCAAAAGACAGCTACTATTGTCATTTTTTTGAGCCCTAGGGGTACAGTGGTTAAGCAGTTGGCTGCTAACTGAAAAGCTAGCAGTTTGAACCCACCAGACGCTTCACAGGAGAAAGATGTGGCAGTCTTCTTCTGTAACAATTACAGCCTTGGAAACCCTGTAATGGGGCTGTTCTACTCTGTCCTGTAGGGTCACTATGAGTCAGAATTGACTCAACAGCAATGAGCATTTCCATTTTGCTATATTTCCTTCTAGTCTTTTTTCTATGCATGCATTTTACTTGTTCACAGTTATAATAATACTGTGTCAGTGTGCGTCCCTTTCTGCTCATTCACTCACCTAATGTTTATTGACTCCAATGTGTCAGGCATCTGCTAGACACTAAGCACAGAGTCCAGAGGAGAACAAAGCAGATGCAAAGATTAATTCATTAATGGCCTCCACCTATCTGGGCCTCTCCATTCCGTCCTGAGACTCCCCAATGCTGTCAGCAGCACCTCTCTGTTGGATTCATGCTCTCAGGCAGCCGTCAGTGAGCTGGGGACACAGCACTTTTTAGACTATTTAAACATGTAAAAATCATTTTTAGCTGTGGCCTGTACAAAACTATGTGGCAGGATGGATTGAACCATGGATTGCAGTTTGTCAACACCTGATCTAATCTAAGTTCTCATTTTTAGTGAAAAAACCTGACACCCACAGAGATGCGGTGGTTTCCTCAGGTCACACAGAAGACCTGGGACCAGAATCAAACTTCCTGGGTTCAGAGCTCAGCTCCCTCCACTATCCTGCACCAACTGCAAACCACACCAACAGCACAGAAACAAGGAAGGTGCCTAACACCAGAGGTGTATCTAAGGTGTGGCAGATATGGTACGTACCCTGGGTGCCATGTGAGAAGGTCATCACTTAGCAGTTTCTATTAGCCATCACAGTTTCCATCACCAGCTGAGATAGATCATTTAGCAAGCTGAAACTAGTTGTTGTAGGTGCTGTTTTCCATAGACACATCCTTGCCTAACACCTTTGCCATCTCAAACCCTCAATCATTTCAAGTCAGACACACATGATTTCACCTTTATCTCCATCCTGTTCATTGGAGATCTTCTTCAAGTCAATGAAATGGGTGGCCAGTGTCACATCGTTCATGCTGCCTTCATCCCATACCTGGATTCTCACCCTCCGACACAAGGGAGGGAACATCTCCTTGAAGATCACCTGTTCATGCCACACGGGGTCAGCACAGTTCTTCTGCACCGTGGTCCGCCCCTAAACACAAAGCCAGGAGGACCTGAGCCGTGGAAGGAAGCCGTGGAAAAGTGGCCCTTGACCAACTAAAGAAAACTCTCTACCCAGCTGGAAATGTGAAGTGAGGTAAAAATAATAATGAAACTGTTTCTACCTGACACCTGTTTCTACCTGACACCAATCAACATTACTATGAGATGGCACAGTGGCTGCAACCATGGGCTCAGACGTAGCAATGATTATGAGGCTAGCACAGGACAGGACACTTTTTTGTTCTGCTGTACACAGGGGGCCTATGACTTGGAGGTGACTATAAGGCACTTAACGGCAACAACAACTCTGTGCTGAACATGCTGCTAGGTATCTGGAACGAAGGTGAGGAAGACACCCTGCCCTCAGGATTCTCACCAGGGTAAGGGGCTGGTATGAAGCAAAACACCTGTGTTTGGGGCAGGAATCATTCCATAGATCTCCAGGAAGGCAGAATGATATCATTAGAACCGTAGTTCATGTTTTATGAAAAGTATACCCTTGTGAGAATCACTCCCCCAGGCTGGACCTCAGTTTCCTCATCATAAAATAAAGGTGATGTCCCATATGACCTCCAAGACCCTCCCAAGTAAAAAATACCGCAATGTACCCCCATGCCCAGGAGAAGGGGCCAGGTAGGCACATATTCTGAATGCAGAGACAACATGAGTGTCAGCTGATGCTTCCAAGTCTGGGCAGCAAGGATTAAGCCGTCGCTGGGTCTCCAAGCCCTGGTACTCCCAATGGGTCTTGAGAGGGAGAGCAGGAAGCAGAGACTTCCAGATTTACATATGTCATGGATTGAATCGTGTCCTCCCAAAATATTTGTCAGCTTGGCTAGACCATGATTCTCAGTGGTTTGGCAGTTATGTAATGCTGTAATCTGGCAATAACGCAATGATGTAGTCATCTCCCATGATGTGATCTGATGTGATCAGCCAATGAGTTGTAAGGGGAAGAGAGTGGGATTCAACACCCTTCTCAGGTCACAGCCCTGATCCCATGTAAGAGGAGTTTCCCTGGGATCTTACAAGAAATAAAAGGAGAGAGAAATGAGCAAAGAAGGGGACCTGACTACCACCAAGAAAGAAAAGCCATAAGCAAAATGCATCCTTTGGACACAGGGTGCCTGTGCTGAGAATCCCCTAGACCCAGGGGAAGACTGATGCCAAGACACATGGCGATCTCCAAGGGACAGTGGGCCCACAGATGTTAAAAGAAGACAAGAACCCTTCCCCAGAGCCAATAGAGAGAGAAAGCCTTCCCCGGAGCTGGAGCCTTGAATCGGGACTTCGAGCCTCCTCAACTGTGAGAGAGTCAGTACCTGCTTGTTCAAGCCGTCCACTTGTGACATTTCAGTTATGGCAGCACTAGAGAACTAATGGCTGGCGGTTCAAACCCATCAGCCACGCCTCGGAAGGAAGGTTGGGCAATCCTACTTCTGTAGTGATACTGCCTCGGAAACCCAAGGAGGGGTCGCTATGAGTCAGGGCTGACTCGACGGCACATAACAGCAACAACAACAGAGAACTAAGGCAGTGCAGGGCAAAGACCACCCAGGGAGATTGTGGGACAGATTGGGAAGGAGATGGTAGTTCTTTAGGGTCTGAGGACTGGGTAGAGGCTCAGAGAAGCAGCCAGAGTGAGAGGGAAGGCCTGTCTGCTTGGATTCCTAAACAATGACCCATCCACACCCCGTCTCCACTGCCTCTAATGAGTGGGTCACCTTCTCCTACTTGCCTCTCCCCCTGACTCGTTACGTTGTTGTGATCTTGTATGATTTCTCTTTCAAGGCACTTGCTGTTTATTATTACTATTATTCATTACAACTTAATTTTATTTGAATAAAAATGACTTGGGTAAAGGGCAGGACTCTGGCACAGGCCTGCCAGTATTGATGACAAAGGTGACACACTTACCGTCTGCCCAGCGAAGGCGACCTCCACGAAGGGATCCACAAGGTCCTTAGTGTCACCCACAAATGCTTTGGTGACATTCGCCATGATGCTGGAGTTCATCTTTGGCAGCCCTTCTGCTTTGTAGAGTCTCACATAGAATCTGGCCCAGGGTCTCTCTGATGGAAACCCTTGGGGAATCAAAAGGTTCCTTAGAGGGGAAAAAACATTTTTAAAAATTAAAAATATAAAAATGTTACTTTGAAAGAATAGGGAGCAAAAGTAGAAGCAATTTGTAGGCTGAGAGGAGCATCATGATATATGAGAAAATCTGAATAGATAGGATTCATCACTGAAAGGAATTTTCTTTCTAGTGTAAATGACTGTAAAGGGGATGAATAGAATGAATACAAGCTTATTCAGGTCCTGGGATTCTAGAATCAACACTGTCTCCCACTCTGTACTTTAACAGAGGTGCATTTAAGATTTTCTACTTCCCAAACCAGAGGTTGAAATTATAACTCTTTCAAAGAGAAATCAGCTAGGCTCTAGGACAGCTTATGAACAGTGGGCTATTATAGGAAGACAGACTGTTCCTGTCCTAGAAGCTGACCTCCCAATGGATAATCACGCCATTGACAAATCATGTCTTGGTGCCCCTGATAGAGCCGAGCCCCAGGTAAGCGCGCCATGAACCTGGCAGTTCTATGTACCCATCGGAAAGGGGTCAAGGGAGGGGAAAGAGACACTACGATTGGGGCACTCATTTCTTTTGCACGGCCCTGGATGGACCTATCTCACTTTTCTATTTGTTCCTCGGCATCAGAGATCTTGGGGTTGGTCTTCAAGACATCGCCTTTGCCAGTCACACTGATATCACACTTCAGGTACCCCTTGGTGCCAGTCCTGATGTCTCCAGGGTCCGTGAGCAGGGCCCACTTGTCACAGAACTGATGACCTGTAAAAATGCCCTGACAGTTCAGCTGTACCTGACAGCTCCGCCCATTTCTCTCCCACCCCAAGGCCTGCCATGTATTATTTTCCCTCTGTTGTTCCAGGCATTCGCTCTTCTCAGTTATTGCCAAGTGTCATGTCTGCCTCCCTCTTTTCCTACTTTTTCTCTCATCCTTTTCCCTAACCTACCCAGTGTATTTGGGAAGCCTTCAGCTTAGTGGAAATCATCTACGTGGGAGTCGAGCTCTGACTGGATGGATACCACTTGCTGCTGAGTCAACTCCAACTCAAGGTGACCCTGTGTATGTCTGAGTAGGACTGTGCTCCATGGTGCTTTCAATGGCTGATTTACCAGGATTAGATTCCCAGGCCTTTCTTCTGAGGCCCTTCTTGGTGGACTCGAACCACCAACCTTTCAGTGAGCAGCTAAGAACGCTGACCGTTTGCACTACCCAGGGACGGGAGAATATTAATGAAGTGTGGAAGTCATATATTATACCCCATGAGCCATAAATGTGGTGCATGGATATTTTTGTTTGGCTAAACTGTGCTTCAAAATTCCAAAGTTTCTTAGAAAATCTAGATTCTAGCTAACTAGGAAAAAAATGATAGGGTAGATCTGGAAATGCTAGGTTCACATGTCTGCTGTCCCTTTCCTATGGGTCCTGAGACTGCCTGTTTCTTACAGGCTCCATCACTCCTCGATGTTTTACACCCAGTGGGCATAGTCACAATCATGTGCTGCCCTTGTGCTCATGTGCAAAGGGAACCACTGTTGAAGAGAAGGGGCTCTGTTACTCATTGGCTGGCTCTGTTACTTATCAGATCTTGACCTTGGACAAATTCTCTGGGTTTCAGTTTCCCATAAATCAGGGGTAATAATATTTATTATAGCAAACCCTTATCTGATGTGCCATAACCATTATTATGTGCTTGATTATGTGAGCACTTTATGTATATTTATTAATGTAATCCTCCAACAACCCTGTAAAATGGTGCAATATAATCCCTGTTTCTACAGATGTAGAAACCAAGGCACAGAGAAGTTAAGTCATTTGCCCAATGTCACACAACTAGGAAATAGCCCAGTGGAATTTGAACCCAGGCAATTTGACTCCAGAGTTCTATTCTAACTTCTGTGCTTTATTGCCTCTTCTGCCCTTGATGTCTCACAATACTAAATGCAAAAGAATTCATGAAAAAGCAAACACCTCAGAAGTATGGACACATAAAATAATTTAATCATTAGATTATGAACTTTAGAGGCCAGAGCCATGTCTTGCTCAACTTTATATAATTGGTGCTCAGTGATATTGAATGAATGCTCAGATGGATGGATGAATGAATGAGAGACCTCCACATGCAGTAAACCCAAGAACAGTAGGAGACAGAGAGGGGAAGGTGATGCTTTCTTACCAGGTTGGTTGTACACAGTCCCCAGGTCTACTTTGAAAGAGCCAATCAGAATGCTTCCTATCAGCTTATGGTGAAAGACCTGAGGAGAGGTGGAGCAGTGAGTCCAATAGCACTACATTTACCTTTGAGGATAATCTGTGAAATGGGCTCATGGTACTGCAAAGAGGGCTGCAGGCCTTGACCCTATCTGGCCTTCACTCTTCTGGAGTACAATGAAGTTTGATGACCAAATCTCAGGGCTGTAAAAGGCCTCCAGGAAGATCTTGCCTGGACTTCTTCCTCCAAGTAGCTTTTTGGCTACCCAGTCTTGAAGGGCACCAAACAACTCTCATTGCCTGAAAGTTTTTTTAACCAAAATGAACCCTAGTGCAGCTCACCCTTCAATACCCACCTCTGCCTGTGGAAACCCTACCCATCCTTCAATGCCTTGAGCAAACGTCACCTCCTCCAAGCAGCCCTCTCACATTCCCACAGCTGGAAGTGATCCCTTTGTCTTGAATCCCCATAGCACTTTGCCCACAACTTTCTTGGAGAACTCATCACACATTGTCTTGGGAAGCTTTGGATGTGTACAATATCCAGAAAAAGGGAGGTGGTCACCCTCAATCTTCTGTCTGATCAGAAGTCAGTGGAGTGCCTGGCTCAGTTACAGTAGCACATTTTAATGCCAATGCAATCAAGATGAGAAAGACTTAAAGGAAAGTGGCAGAGTGGTGCCAAGTCTAGAAACCAAATTGTGTGAGGAACTGCTGAAGAACCAGGAGCAGTTTAACCCAGAAAAGAGAAAACTGAGGTGTGTGGAGAAAGGAAAATGATAGCATAAGTGTTTTCAAACCTTGGAAATGTTGCTTCTGGAAGATGAAGTGGATTCCCCTGTGTCATTCCCAACTTAGAGGAAGACAGATTTCATATCAATATAAGGACAATTTGTATAACAATTAGAACTTCCCAGCAATGGAATGAGCTTTTCTATAGGTAGTGAGCTCCCTGTCACTGGAACTAATCAAGTAGTGTTTCAAGAATCCCTTGTCAAGGAGGTGGTGGAAGGGAATTCCTACACCGGTTGACAGTTAGACTAGAAGTCTAAAATTCTATGAGTTCTTGTAATCAAGGAAGTTCCCTACTCTCTTCTTCCCACCACATGGCCTCTTTTAAATAGGTGCTCAATAAGCATTCAGTGAATTAGTGACTGGCTGACTGATTGGATAATGGATGAATGGAAGGTTTTTATGGTTTCTAAACAGCTCCTTAGGTCAGAGAAAATACAATGAATTCAACTGATTTCAAGGAAAATCAGCCCTTCCCATCCCCCTTTCCCTCTTCTCTCCCTGCCCAAACTTTCCAAGGGGATTAGAGAACCAAGGGGAAGTCAGGACAGCCTGACATGAGTAGAGGAGCTATTTCAGGCCACACACATGGTGCTCACTGTAAAACCCCCATGCTTGAGATGCTAATATGGCTTCCCAGAGACCTGACCAAGAACAGAAGCTTGTCTCAAGTCTGCTCTCAGGTCAAGGGCATCTGGCTCCCTGTGGGCAAATCAAGATAAAAGAGCCCAAAACTAATCTTTAAATAACACAGAAGCCTCCTCAAATGGTCCAGCCAAAGGTCAAGTGCCAGGTAACTCTAGTGTGGTCAAGCGATGGGCCATAGGAACTCAGGCTGTCTCAAAACAAAGCTAGTGGCTCTGCATGGCTTGGGCCAGTGCCAAGGGAAGATGGTTTTTGGCATCACCAGGGTGCTACAGCCTGGTTGTCCCAATAGCATCTGCTTATAGTAGACTTCCCCCTCTACTCCCACATTGAATTTATTCTGGGCGTGCTGACTTTTAGTTCATCAGCCAACAGGGGGAAAAAAAATGATATCAAATGCCTCCCTCTCAGGGGAGTTTCCCTTTAAAATCATTGGTCTCTGTCCATAAAGATCATTTAGGGACACCAGTGTGTTATCTTCTCCTAAATTAGAGGAACAGAGATAGGAAATACCAGTTTTGATCTTCTGTCTATGAATCCTCTTGTCCACAGAGTCAAGACCCTTGTCTAGGATAGTATAAAAATCTAGTTATTAATTGTTCATTGGAAAGCTAGATAGTCCTTTAAGAGCCCACTATAAAGCCAATCTCACAAACAGGTGGTTGCCTGAATCAAAGTCCTGGGCTGTTCCAGACCCCAAAATATCTTCTACACAACTTGCCATCATGTCTGAAATTCCAACATTAAGAATGTTTGGCTCCTGATGGCTTTTCATTCTTCAAGAGTCACATTCTTCAAGCGCCCCTGGGAAGGGTAGTATCCTGTTACCCTTCACTGTTACCTAAGCCTTACAGCAGGACTCTGTTTGACAGGCAGCTGTGATTAAAGGGTACATCCAAAGGCAGCTGAGTGATAAAGTCAGAGAAGGGAGACTCCAAGACCAGTGTTTTTGCAATTCTGATTAAAGCTGATGCTTCTGTTAGGAACTCATTTTCTCATTCTCTACACTTCTCACATTGACATAAACCAAAACCAAACTTACTGCCGTGGAATCTGATCCAACTCATAGAAACCCCTCCTTGGGGATCTGAGGCGGTATCTCTACAGAAGTAGATTGCCCAACCTTCCTTCCCAGGAGTGGCTGGTAGGAATTCTGTCCTTTTGGAACTATATGGAAGAAAGAACTTACCCTTGGGCCACACCCCCACCCTGGCCACTCTCAAGCATACACACCCTGGAACCCCTCTCCACAGGAGAAGCAATGGTTTGGCAGACTGGTGAGATAGATGCCACTTGTTGCACCTTTACTGAGTGGTGTGAAATTGGTGATCCCATTCAGCACACCCTTATCTCTCATTTGGGCTAATATGGCTTCAACATGGGTGTTTCTGTCCTCCATGAGGTGGGCACACCTGGATAAGGTATCTGGCTAGACTCAGAAGCTCTCTCTGTCTCCACTTTCCAGACTTGATCTATGGGAGGCAGCAGTTTCCTGGCTGGGGAAGGTCTACCAGCAAACCGAACTCTCTGTGGGCAGGTCATAAAGTCTGTATTCAGAGGTGACTATGTTAAAAAGTCCAATGGCCACTGCTTCTCCAAACCACATTCTCTGACCCAGCATTACTACTGATGAAACAGATATTTGCTTCCTTTTAGATTCTTGTTTCTATGTCTCTATTTGTTACGAACAGGAGGGAAAGGGGTGTGATGAATTACCACTAGAGTACATACCACTCCAAGAGAGAAACACTAATATTTACTTGATAAACTAAGGAAATCTACTCAAAACAGCAACCCATTAAGACATTGAAGCATATGTTTCACGTCCACACATCAGTAAGCTACACAATTTGATTTATAATACTATCCATTACAAGAAACACAGATTTTTCTTAAGATAACGTTTCTTCCTGAACTCCACTATACTGGTTTTTTCAAGTTCTATCCTATTGGTTTCAGATTCACCAACCCACTCTCACCCTCCTGAATCTGTTCATTCCTAAGCATGCTTAGCTGTCCTGGAGAGTTTCCAACGCCTAGACTACCTCCCGAGGACGGCACGGGACCAGGCAGTGTTTCGTGCTGTTGGACACAGGGTCACCATGAGTAGGAATTGACTGGATGGAACCTAACAACAATGGCAGAGTCCCTCCCACCTTACCTTACCCACTCCCGATGATATACTTACTGAGATTTTGATGATCTTGTCAAAAAGGTGCACTTGGGGCCCAAGGAAGTCGAAGACAAAATACTGTAAAACATAAAGATGATTCTGACCATCAATGTCAGGCTTGCATCTAAGAGCCCTACTCATGGAGTGAGTTTAGATCTGCATTGTTCTTACCCACGGCTGCCTGCTACTCAATGGTGTGAATACAGGCAGTCCCTGGATTATGAATGAGATCCATTCGTAAGTGTGTGTTTGAGTCAAATTTGTAGGTGAGTCAGAACAGGGGCATACAGTTCTTATTTAGCCTTACTTTAGCACAAAAAAAAGGAGCTCATCTGGCGTAGTGGTTCAAGCATTTAGCTGCTAACCAAAAGGTCGGCAGTTCAAACACACTAGCCCCTCTGCCGTAGAAAGATGAGGCAGACTGCTTCTGTAAAGATTTACAGCCTTGGAATCCCTATGGGGCAGTCCTATTCTGTATTAAAGGGTTGCTGAGTTGGAATCAAATCGATGGCAATGGCTTTAGGTTTTAGTGCAAGAAAAGTTTCGAAGCTTTTCCAATGATTTAAAAGCTGCACAAGCAGCAAGTGAAGGTGATTGTGTTGAAGAATTTGTTGCAAGTAGGGATTAGTTCAATCATGTCCAAACAAAACAAATTCACTACCATTGAATCGATTCTGACTCATAGTGACCCTTTTTCAGGACAGAGTAGAATTGCCCATAGGGTTTCCAAGGCTGTAAATCTTTACAGACACAGACGACACATCTTTCTCTCATAGAGTGGCTGGTGGGTTTGAACCACCAACCTTGTGGTTAACAGCTGAATTCTTTTAACCACTATGCCACCAGAGCTCCTTAATCATTTCAAAGTGAGGACAAATTTATGTAACATGGAAGGACAAGTATGAGTTGTCCATTAAGTCGGACATTCATAACCTGAGACTGCCTATACAACATCAGTTGCTTGACCATCCCTTGGTGAAGGTCAGTTAGATTGTGCCCCCACCCCCACCCCTTTTTTGCGTGAGTTAAAAAAAAAAAAAGGTTACATCTTTGGACAAGATACATGTAAGTATTTCTCTGAGAAATGGAGTTGTTGGGTCATGGGTTGTGTGCACATAAATTTTTAATCCAAAAAAAAAAAAAAAAAAATACATGTAAGTATTTCTCTGAGAAATGGAGTTGTTGGGTCATGGGTTGTGTGCACATAAATTTTTAATCCAAAAAAAAAAAAAAAAACCCACAATCTCACTGCCATCAAGTCAATTTGAATGCATGGCAACCCCATTGGGTTTCTGAGGTTGTAAATCTTTATGGAATTAGATTGCCCCATCTTCCTTCCATGAAGCAGCTGATGCGTTTGAATCTCTGACCTTCTGGTTAGCAGTCAAATACCTTACCCACTATCCCACCAGAGCTCCTTCTAGATAGTATGAAATTTCATTCCAAAGGGGCTAAACTACTCTTACATTCCCACTAACAGAACGAGAAAATAGCTATATCTCTACCTTTTTGCCAGCCTTTGATACTGTCACTTCTTTCCATTTTTTGTCTGTAACAATGAGTGAAAATGGTGCCCAGTGTGGTTTTGATTCGGTAAGAAGTTGATAAAGACTTAATTTTCTCAAAATTTTTCAATTTCAAACATCCTTGTGAAAATACCAAGATTGACTAGGTAGAAACTGAAAAGAACTTATGGATGTGGGAAATTTCTAAGATTAAGAAAGTCACTGAACTTTAGAATTGAAGAAATTATCTAGACCAGCCCCCATATTTTACAGATGAGGAGAAGACCAAATAATCTAAAAGATGTATCTAGAGGGCCATTAGATAGTTAATGCCACACCTGAGACCAAACCCTTGTGCTCCTGAAGTTATCATGTAATGGGTTCCAACATTAGATAGTCACCATCTGACCTTTAAGTCTAGTGCCACCCAAACGTGAGGTTGTATGATTCTGAGATGTGGAAAACTAGAGTGGTGTTTTATTGTGAGATTGTGTGTTCTGGGGACTGGTAGCAGTGGAGTGAGGGGGAGGCAGGGCTTAGGCATTGTTGGCTTGCTCATTTTGTTTTTTGAGCAGCAAAGTAGAGGGATGCCATGGCATTAGAAATGTGCGTGATGATAGAAGGGAAGAAAGAAGCAACAGCTAGTAGCCTGCTTTCAAAGGGCAAATCAGAAAAACCAAAATGTGTGAGCGGAAAGATACCATCACATACTGTAATAAGAGATCTTCAAATGGACGTCCTTAGATGCCAAGGAAAGGGTACATTATGTTCAGTGTTGTCTGTTTAAGAAAGTAGGAAACTGCATAACATTTCTAGAAATTTTCTAGAAATATATGTTCAAACTTTAAAAAGTTTTGGCATTCAAAGAGTCTTTCATTCTTAAACAGGAAATTCACTTACATGAAATTCTTTCTCCCCTGATAAGGCTAACTGTCTGAGATGCTATGGGAGCCTTTGGACTGATGAATCATTCCAGCACTTTGTATGTCAGGCCTTCTATTGAGACTCATATGTTTTAGGTCCATCTGCCCCCCACAGGCTGCCTAGATGCCTGGGCCTCCCCCACACACACACATGTGTCTAGCTGGCGAATATTCTCCAGACTCTTGTAACTGTGCCTTCATCATCTGATGCTCTTTGGGCTTGAAAATCAGGGTGAAAAGCTATAACAAAAATTTTCAGTCCAATTTCTATATTTACTTGATTTCCTACTCTTTTCACTTGGGCCTAACTTAATGGCATTTGTATTGAGGACTTGTATGCATAAAGTTAGCTCTAATTATAATAATTAACTGATCTGTAGGGCTATGCAAAAGAGCCTTGGTGGTGTAGTGGTTAAGGCATTTGGCTGCTAACCAAAAGGTCACTGGTTTGATCCTACCAGCTGTTCTGTGGAAGAAAGATGAGGCAGTCAGCTTCTGTAAAGATCTACAGCCTAGAAAACCCAATGGGGCATCACTATGTGTCAGAATCGATTCAATGGCAGTGAGTTTGGTTTGGCTTGGTTTGGTAGGGCTTTGCCCTTTTAGAGTACATTTTATTAGTATTATCTCGTTTGGTCCTCCTTGATGCTAAAAGATGTTTTTTGGGGGAGAAATGGGACAGGAACAAACTCCTGCCACTTTGTTGCTGTTAGTTGCCATGGAGTCAATTCTGCTTCATGGCCACCTGCCACTTTTACACCCGGTAACAGGCTGGGAGGCAGGAGTGACAAAGAGGAAAGAAGTTAAGGGCTCTGCTGGGACTTGGGTCTTTTCTTTTGATCTCACTCTCCATGCTCTCCCTCCCCTCTTTATCAATTATCACTCTCATTAGGAGAATCAGTTTGCTGTTTTTCTTGATAGTTCATGGTTTTGAAGAGCCTGTAGGAAAACAGCATTTTTGTCTACTGTTGGTGGGAATATAGGCGATTACCTCTTTAAGGGGAGTTCTGTGATATTTATCTGTATTGCAAATGCATATATCCTTTACTCTAGTTATATCGTATATATGTATTATTATTATATATAATAGGAGCTCTGGTAGCATAGTGTCTAAGGCACTTGACTGCTAACCAGAGGGCTGGCGGTTCAAAACCACCAGCCACTCCTCAGAAGGAAGATGGGGCAATCTACTTCCGTAGTGATACTGCCTTGGAAACCCAAGGAGGGGTCACTATGAGTCAGGTCTGACTCGATGGCACATGGCAACCACAACATTATATATAATAATGAGAGACTGAAAAAAATAACCATTGATAAGAGTGACAGGTTGAGTAAATTACAGTATATCCATGCAACTGAAAGTTCCCCAGCCATGAAGAAAAAAATGAGATTGAACTATATGGCCTGATATGGATTAATCTCCAAGATATGTAGTTTTGTGAGAAGAGCAAGGTCCAGAATGACATGTATAGAATGCTGCCATTTGGGGACGGTATTTCCTTGTATTCTTGTCCATATCTGGAATATATCCGGATGGATAGACACACACCTAGTGAGGTAGGTGCCTCCAAGGAGGAGGACAAGGGGATTAGAGATCAGAGACAGGAGGAGACATAGTTTCCCTTATCTATCCTTTGGTACTCCTTGCATCTCTTGTCATGGTTTTATTTTTTAAGAAACATGTAATATTTTGATTTTTAAAAGAGAATTTATTGTGTTTGATGTCTGGAAGTTTCATGTCTCTCTTTGATGCTTTTTCTGACAATTTCTACACAGCTTATTAAAAACACAACTGCTTTACTTTCCAATCCCATCTACCTTTTTCAAAATTAATGATTAAATTTCCAACCTCTTCGACAAAGAAGAATATGTATCTTCTCACTAATGCTCAAGCCACTTATTATTTTTGTTTAAAGACAAGAGCCCACAGTGAATGAATTTGGGCTTATAAGAAACCAGAAAATAGATCTATTAAAACACAGCAATAAATTTAAAATCAGGAGGCACTCTTTGTCTTGCCTTTCCATTATCTTTTTGATCAACTCATTGGGCTGTGTTTACAAGGAGGCTCAGACAGTTTGCTGTAGGACTGGAGGAGTAGCTGGGAAGTGGTGAAGAGGGGCACAACTTTTCTATTTGGCTGAAGAGGTCTCCAGTGTGGCGGCATGTAGGACGTTAGTGAAGAGCAGATGGGCGAACTCCATAACTTACTTCATTGTAAAATGGGCTGTTGGTTCCTTCCTTCACTGTGCTTTGCTTCTTGTCATCTCCGATCTCAATGATCACAACCGGGTCAATGTTCTCACCTACCAGCTGGCGGGCCTCAGTGATGGTGATGGCAATCTGTAACAAAAACCAGTGTCTTCACTGTCCTGGAAGTCACCACGCATTCACATAAGACCAGGGAGAGGCAGGGGCAGGAAGAGTCAGTCACTTACTTGATAATGTTGGGATTTGACCTCACCATCATGGATCTTAGTCACCAGTTTTGATCTATTGAAAAACAGTTTAATATATTTATTTTGTCAAATAACAACGTACTTTACACCCATACGTAGCTGTGGCTGTTGTCTTGCCATCACGCCAATTCCCACTCACAGCCACCCCATGTGACAGAGGAGAAGTGCCCCATTGGGCTTTCTAGGTGCTAATCGTTATGGAAGCAGATCACCAGGTCTCTCTCCTGCTGGGTCTGCTTGGTGGGTTTAGACCACCAAGCTCTCAGTTAGCAGCTGAGTGCTTAGCCATTGTGCCACCAGAGCTCCTCGAGATCCATACACCATAATAATATTTCCCCAAAATATTCCCAAGTGCTCCCATTTATATCATATCACATATTCTCTCTACATCTCCAGGGGAGACAAGTGTGAATGGATGAGTGTCTTAACCTCTCTATGCCCCAGTTTCCCCACCCTAAAAAGGGAGCTAGTAATAACATCCACCCCATTAGGTAATTGCTAGAATTAAATAATATCACACTTGAAGAGGTTTAACCCAGTGCCTGGCAAGAATCAATGCTAGCTTTTATTATAAGTATGATTATAATATTATTATTTTTAATTTACAGATGGAGAAAGGAAATTAATGGCAGAACTGATCTAAGTAAGGGCCTTCCAATCTGCTGTCTGAGTCTGTCCACAGAGGATCTCCGTCTCATTCCCAGTAGATATAACAATTCTCAGTTTCAAGATTGCTTTGAAAAAAAGAATTGGTAAAGGAGAAAATTGGAAAGAACAACCAAAATGTCATCTCCGTGAGATTTCACATTCCAGGGGATTTCATTTATCTGAATTGTCACAGGTAATTGGGAACAGATTTAGAGACTGGATAATAATATAAAGAGATGAAGAATCCTATTGGCGTGGATGCAGCAATGGGTGGAACTGAAGTGAGCTTGAGTTGCTGCTGAATTTTGTTCTCTTGGCTTCTAGCAACACCGTCTTATATTTGACTTTATTCCATTTCTGCTGATTATAATTGAGTCTGGTAGAGAATAAACCAGCAAAAATGTCAAGGCTTTGGAGTCAGACTGATCTGAGTTAGGGTATTTGTTCTCCCAAGTTGTATGACTTTGGGAAGTTCTTTAGCCTTGATTTCCTCTTCTGAAAGTAGAAAAACTAATTCTTGTTTCATGGGGTTGCTCTGAAGATTAAAAAGAGATAGTGCATGTAGGAAAGCGTAGATGTCATTGAATATATTTCTCAATAAAATGGCAAATCCATACTGGTTATTTACTATTGAAAGCTCTGTGCTAGGCTTGGCTAGAGAAAAAACAAAAATAAGTAAGGCATTTTTTGTGCCCATTCCAAAGAAAGGTGATCCCACAGAATGTAGAAATTATAGAACAATATCATTAATATCACACGCAAGTAAGATCTCACTGAAGATAATTCAGAAACGTTTGCAGCAG